GTACACTGGTAGATGTCCAGTGTAATTTTCCGAGCGAGCCGTACCGACAAGCTTATCAACTTGTCTCGCGTCTAAAATGGCCAAAACTTGCAATTAGGATAACTTGTTCGGCGACATCGGCTGGCATACCTACCTGGATGCTGAGATGAAGAAATAATCTCAATCTGAAGTCAAGAATATCAGCAAGAGAACGTTTTATAGCCAAGAAGTGCAGTCGATCGTGGTCAAGAATGTACCGCCGTTGGATTGAATATATAAGCGAGTCAACAATGGTTGGTTTTGCGAAAGCGTTTTGTAACTTCCTCTGAGAAGTGTTTGGATTTATTTATTTTGATAGTATACTCTACTTTTTATATAAACACGTTTTCTGGCGTATATTAAGATTGCATATTGATGTAATTATTCGTATTCGATCTTTGAAATTTGTATTTTATGTAATCGTTGAAATTTCTGTGAGAAATGACTTCACATAGCATCCCACATGGTTGAGAAGACTTTATTTTCGTAGTATATATTGTTTGCCGTGCTGAATGGGTAACGGGACATCRTCGGGTATACGAGCGGACAAAACCTTTGTAAGGGAGGGGTGGTTCAGGGTATGTAGGTACAGGTGAGGGAGGGGTGGTACAATATTAGTGACGTCATTACACAGGAAGCCCAATATGATAAAACACAGGAGTCCCAACTTACACACGAAAGGTTCACGAAGAATAACGAAAATGAATCGGCGGAAAATCGAGTAGTCACGAAGTTATCCCGAATTACATTCACACGCACTCCAGGCGATAGCATAGTGGCTTGAGCCTCGTTCCGAGGCACTAGCCACAAAAACGAGGCAATTAAGCTGTAGAAAATGAAGAAAAACGATTAAGTCAACTCACTTTTAAGTGCTTAAAAGCACGTCGAAACAGATTTTATCAAATTCTGTTTATTGTTGAGATTTAGTTCATTAAATCATAATCTNAAGGCAGAGCTGAAAGGGCTTTGCTTGCAGTAAAGTTATGTTAAAACCACTCTAGTGCCTGTGGTTATCTGCCTGTACACTGCTTGATGTTGTTGTATTCCTATTTTTGTAGACGGACAAGCCATTGCCATAAAGCTCTCCAAACAGATCTCTCGAGCCTCAGAGCAATTGAAAAAAGCTATGCAGAGTTACAATTGTTTGGCTGAGTGCCTTACTTTCGACCAAGTCAAAGGCCCCTGTGGCACCCTATATTTTTCTTGTCCAGCCCCTGTCTTCACTGGTAGTGCTGCAGTACCCGAGTCGACAAAAAAACAAATGGTCAACCTTGTGTGTTTAAAGGAAAGATGCAAAGAGGAAACTCAATTGATCAAAAAWRAGATRGTCCAGCTMCTGTCATTTTATTTACATCAAATGAATGTCATCCAAGGACATATTGAATCATTATCTGACACAGGTTTTGATTCAGGTCTAAAAGCTGTTCTGGGCCAAAAGAAACTGGTTTTGCAAACCATATGTTCAAATTTGCAGGAGTTGTGGGGAGGTTTGAAAGTAATACCRTACAACTTTGACAGACCAATCACATGGCTGTCAAGCTCCAATTTTCAAGTGTCAGAATTTCCCGACAATATTAATCAAACGTCAGAGGCSAAAGATGAAACAAGCAATGGTAACGASCTATACCCCGAGAACGAAACAGCTGATGACGATTGGTATACAGACAGCGACAACAATGAGGATTGGTTGTCAGAGAGCGACAACAATGAAGATTGGTTGTCTGAGAGTGACATCCCTATGAGTTAATGCTTGTTGTTCAATGTAAAATATAACCATAGCTTGCTGAGATTCATAAGTTTAAATTTAAAGTTATAAGGCAACACATTAAGAACTTTTTATGATTTCTCTCATGAATGCCTCACTGCAAGACAATGGACATTGATTACTACCTATACATGTACATAAACATTAATTGTAACTTGTACTATCATGACATTGAGATGTATTAGTGATTAATGGCCCCGAAGCCAAGATATCAGTTCCGCGTCGGTCCATATTCTATCAGCACACTTGTTTTTCTATCCACCTAAAACTTAATTTGGCCTGTCAACATTTTTCCTTTGAATTACCGCACTTCTGGGTGATTTGAGAAAATGCGACTAGCCAATCAGCGCAAAGCTGACAA